TTTGCAACTCTCCTTCTTAAATTTTAAGTGAAAAAATTATTGAATTCTTAAACTTGCAAAGCTACCAATTATTATTCTAGCACATCACTCTAGTAATTTGCAACTAAAATATTGAATTTTATAATTATCTTACAAATAATTTGCAATTCATTTTTGAAATTTTGAGTGAAAAAACTATTGAATTCTTAAAAAAGTTATAATTCTAGGACATCACTCCAATAATTTGAAACTAAAATACCAAATTTTGCAACGTTATTACAAATAATTTGCAACTCCTTCTCGAAATTTTGGATGGAAAAAATATTAATTTTTTAACTTGCAAAGCTACTAGGTTATTATTTTAGAAAATCGCTCCAGTAATTTGCAATTGATATATTCAATTTTGTAATTGCCTTACGAATAATTTGCAACCTTTGTTCAAAATTTTAAGATAAAACACTTTTAGTGATTACAGAAGATATGAACTGTATATATAAGCTACATGTATTAATTCATCTAATGCAACTGCACATATTAGTTGTCCACATACACAAAAGCATGAACTAAGCATTCCCATTTTTTAATGAACTAAGCATTTTCCATTTTTTATTTGCAACTAAGCATTCCCAATTTTTATTTTACAATGCATGCTACACACTCAAAAAGAGCATATCTTCAAGTTGAAGATCGAAAATGAGTAGCTTCTCTTTTCTGGTGTTGGTCCTTGATTTAGGGCATTATGATTGAGCCAAGTGCTTCTATTTCTTCCATAAAATAATAAATCACTGAAAAGCTCCTCCATTTCATCGATTCAGAGGATTGAAGCCCTAATAGCACCAAGTAGTGCACAACAGATGGCAAAACAAGTGGCTACATCCACCCACTGCAATGATAGAGGAGGAGACGTCAGAAATAAGGGATAAGGGCACACTACTATTTTCAGAGGGGATGTATTCAGGTTCGAGACTCGGGAGCATGAGTTTCTAAGAGAACATCATAATAGTGATGCACGATTAGAATTTTTTTTATAAGGGCAATTGAGTATTTTTGCTTGTTAGTTATGATTACTGAATTCAGACCATGGGACTTACGTGGGATTTTTGAATCTTTTGGGATTTATTTTGAATAAATTGCTTTCTTTGGACTTGATTGTCATTTTTCAAAAAAGTAACATGGGCAAGGACTTAATGCTCTTCAATAGATCAGCTAAAAGTCCATGAAGCAACAAGTTACAACCATTGAAACTCTTTGATGATACAGCCCTAAAAAGGTCCGGACAATCTAGTTCAATATAAACTGTTGATGGCACTTAGCTTGTAACAAGGAGTTTGCCTTTTGGCATGCAAGAATTTCATCATCATAAAACCAGAGGAAGCCTCTATTCTCTCTCACCATCCTTTTATAAAACATCCTAAGTAATCCCTCCAAACAATTCCTATACCTGCTCTGCTCTACCCAAAGATGTTAGGTATGAGCCATCACAATTAATTTTGGTAGTATTTGGTGGGGAAGGTGACCAAACACCAAGTACAGGATCAAGAGATGAAGTAGCAGGTTCTTAAAATTGTTAGCTTTCCAATACTTAGAGATAGTAGCATTTGTTTTAGAGACTATTAAGAAAGGATCAATTACAGCTCCGAAAAAGATTGAGGCAGACCTCAATTTCCAAATATTCTAGCATAAATTGGCAAAACATATAATTTACCGTAGTCATCAAGAAGAGGATCGTGAAGGAAAAAACTTACTGCACCAATGATCAAAAGATGTTACACCATATGCATCTAATTTTAAAGTCAAAAAATAGTGACGCCAGTCCTGTTTGGCCCAATCACAAAGGAGGAGTAAATGCTCAACAATCTCAAGTTGAGAAACACAAATGGAGCAAAGTGGGTCTGCTCCACATTTTTGTCTATATAGCATATCTTTGGTGGCCAATGTGTTGTTTAAAGCCCTCCAAAGAAAGTGTTTCACTTTGGGTTGGAGTTTGAGTTTCCAAATGCACTTCCATAGATCATCCGAAATAGAGAGCGAAGAACTTGGAGCTTTGTTAACCACAGGAGGGGCTCTAGCTGCTGAAAGCCTGTAACCAATCTTGGATGAGTATTTCTCATTATTCGTAGCAACCCAAGAAAGAGAGTCAACAGTGGGGTGTAGGGAATATGAATTTTCAAGATGCCCTCATTAAGTGTCAGCAGTACAAAATTAGAGATAGCAAAAAGGTCCCAATGCCCATCAGTAATTAACTCAAAAACTTTGAGATCATTATTATTATAGCTCCTTCAACAGCAATAGCTTTAAAGCTAGGTAGGCTTGGAACCACTGATCAACCCAGACTTGATCTCATTGATTGCACCTACTTTCCAGCAAAGATCTTTTAAATAAATATCTTCTTGTAAGAAAGCTACTCCAAGCCCATGGTGCATGTCGGCCTTTGTCAACATCAAGGAAAGAGGTATTAGGGAAATAAACACTCTTTAGAATTTTGACCCACAAAAGATCTAGGTTATTAATGACTCTCCATGTTGATTTGGCAAGAAGAGCATCATTAAACTTCATGAAATCTTAAAATCCAAGGCCACCTTCAAATTTAGGGACACAAAGCTTAGACCAAGCTTGCCAATGAATGTTGTTTCTATCCTTAGTTTGCCCCTGAAAAAAAAATTGCAACCATGTTGTCTAGCTTCTACACGTTCTCTTGGGGAATTGGAAGCATATCATAGGGAAAATTGGTATTGCATTATTACTACTTTAATCATTACCTAAGCCAGGCAAAGACTTGCTACACCAACCGTGCATCTTCTCACCCACTTTATCCCAAACATAAGTGAGAGCAGCTACTTTGGATATGCCCTAAAGAATGGGTAGAGCAAGAAAAGAACCAGGGTCTTCAATGGCAAGAACAAGTAAAAAAAAAATGAAAACCTCTTCTCTCACATTTTCTAGAATGTTTGCCCAGAAGAATAGAGAGGATTTTTCAAAATTTATGCGTTGGCCTGAAGCATTACAATAAATGTTTAGAAGCTCCTTCACAACACTGCAGTTTTTCTTGAGGCATTGAGAAAGAGGATAGTATAATATGCAAATAGATTATGAGTAATCATAGGGCAAGCATCAATAATATTGACTCCCTGCAAATCACCATTATTAGTAGGAGAGTTCAACATGCAAGAGAAAGTATCACTAGCAAGTATGAAAAAGATATAGGGAGAGGAGGGTCTCCTTGTCAGACCCCTCTATCAAGGGAAATTCAAGCCACTATTTTTATCATAAACTACCACCATTAATCTTTTGCAACCATTACTATTAACATATTTTTAATTTTAATTTTTTAAATTAATATAACCAACAATATTTTTATTTTTCTTTGTTTTGAAAAACTATTCCAAAAATTGTATTACTAAACAGTTTTTAAAAAGAAAAAAAATAAACATAAAATAAACAAGCCTTAAATTCTTGGATGCCAGCATTCTCACCCCTGCCCAAGTAGGTTAGTGCGCAATGAAATAGACCTGTTTGTTTTCTGTTTTGAAAAATTGTTCTTTGTTTTTTAAAAAATAAAAATATTTGTTTGGTTAAGTATTTTGGATTTAAATATTTTTTAAAATTTTTTATTTTTCTTGTTAAAATAAAAAATGAAAACAACTTAGAATTATTTTTATTTTTTAAAGAATATTATGTTTGATAATTGTAAATTATCTTTAGCTATAATCAACCACTATCATAGATTATCATTATTAACCACTATCCATCTTTTTTTAATTCTAAAATTGTTTTCATCTTACATAATCAAACAAATTTTCATTTTTTTAAAAGAATTTTTAAAAGTTGATTTACAAAATAGTTTTTAAAAACAAAAAAAAAATGAGAACAAAACTACACAACTCCTAAATGTCCAGTTAACATGGCATCATGAAGACATCAAAATTGAATATAGAGAAGCGTTTTATTTACTTGATAACCCTAACTACTGTATCAAGTTTTTCCTTTCCCCTTTGAAAGAAGCATTGTTATGAATTTCAGTTTCTATTTCCTCCTGGTGAATAAGTTTGAAGGTGCAGGACCACTAACTTAGCGAGACTGAAAATATCAACTCTTACTTGTTGCAATTTTAGTTTGTTTCTTTTAAACCCCAAATTCAGGGATACATAAAGCCTACATATCTGCATGGAATCAAAATTAGCCTTCGCATAAAATGCTATTCCATAGCATTCTTGTTAGTTTTTTTTTTAATCATTCAAAAAATTGCATAAGATAATGTTAAATTTTTTTTTGTAATATCATTTCTTTATTGATAAACACCTTTTTTTTTAATTTCCCTATTTCTTCACTTATAAAGAAGCTCTTTTTTTAATTTAGTTCCTTCATATTCTAAAGAATTGTAAGTACAATTTAGACATCTTCCAATGATGATTTGTAGCTTTTATGTAACATCTGTTTGTAAAATTCATGGATGGAGTACAATGTATGTGCATGTGCCACATGCATCATGGAAAGTAAATGCTGGTAATCACAAAATGAAGAAGGATTGATATGATAATAATATATAAAAAGATAAAAGAATAAATTAACTCCTAAATTATGTCCAAAAATGTTTAGGACCACAAATTCTTTTTTTTTTTTTTGCAATATTTCTCTTTAACTTTTGAAAATAATATAATCTAATATCTACCATTAACAAAAACTAACTTTGCTAATTAATTGATCAAAAAACAACCTTAAAGATGATTTAAAAAATGACCAAAAATTGCAATAAAAGACTTAAAAAAATGACAAAAAATAATAGGGAAGAACCAAGAAAATTTTATTGATATTTTTTTTATAATTTGAGATTAATTTTTCATCAGCTAACAATTAAAATTAAATTTTGTTAACAAAAGGAGCTATATTATATTATTTTCAAAAGTTGAACAAGAACATTATATTAAAAATAAGTTTAGGATCTCAAATACTCCTGAACTTATAATTTGGGAGCTAATTTTCTTTTTTACCCTATATAAGAACCTTGGAGGAAAGAGAAATGCTTCAAGCAAGAAGGATAAAGATTGGTAATGGAACAATACACTTTCAATGGCGAACCATTTGCTTGAACTTTCTTCGAAGCACAGACAACCTTCTCTGAATGAGAAGCTTTTCATCCCTTCTTCCTAGTTTATCCAAGTAATATACAATTTTTTTCAGGGTAACCATAATCCCGTCACTCTCGGGCCCAAATTCTTTCTCTTGGATATTCAGTATCCTCTTAAGCAGCTTGAGTAATTCACTATCATCCTTACCGATTCTGGTTTGAATGGACACCAAACAATCCAATGCCTCCCCTGCCATGCATCAGACACACATTGCAACCAATGAAACTCAAGACAAATTATATGAAGAATGAAATGTTTGTCATATCTAATAGGGTTGAGGCACAAAAATGCCTAGAAAATTTTTCCTCCATAAGCTTTTGGTATATTTAAGTCAACAATAATGCTTGAATACCCATTAACTTCATAGAAAAAACCAACCTTCACTTAACATCAAACTATTTTAATGGATTGGGAAAGGTTGGCCTCATTATAAAATCAATGGTTACTCATGCATTGTTGTTGATTTAAAAATACCAAAAGCTTCTAAAGAAAAAATTTTTCAATATTGTTGCACCTAAATCCAATGCACTTGGATTCGGTGAGTGACCCAAGTCCACTCACTTAATAAATGTCTCAATTATAGCAATTGAATTTCATCAATAATTGAAAATTGTCAAGATACATTTTCTTTCAAAAAATTAAAACACTTCCCATGATCAGAACACTCCTAGTGTACGTTGATCCCTACAAAAATTTAAGATTTTGTACTTTTTGAATCTTGTATGATAAAATTTCTTCAACCATCCAACTAAATCAAATGATTGTCATTGTGCCACATGAGACACTCTTTGAATGAGGAAACTTTGATTATTTGCCGAATCCAAATCCTAACCATATGTAATAAAAGTCAATTGGAAGGTATCTTACCAACAGGAAGAGAATCTTCTCCAAATGCCTTCTCGCGTATGCGCAAAACGTCTAGGGCAAATTGCTCTGCCTCTTCATCTTGCTTCAGATGGTAGAGAGTAACTGCAAGGTGCAACATTGGGAAAGTGATGGACTGGTCATCGGTCCCCATCTTCTTTGTCATGATTTTCAAACTTCTTCGGAGCAAGCGCTCAGCCTCTACATAATTATTTGATTGTGAATATGAAGTTGCAAGGTTCATCATGTGTGTCACTAAGTCGGGATGCTCATTTCCCTTATATCTCTCTGTGATTAATAAACATTCCTCTAATAATGCTCTGCCTTCTTGTCCCCTATAAGAGTTGCATTAGAAACCAGCCTTTGTCAGACAGGGCATCACAAGTATAAATCTTCAACACATTAACCTACTAACACCAGATAACCAAGAAAAGGTAGATCCAATCTTGCCTTAAGATACTTATTAAACAAGGAAGAAAATAATTCTCAACAAGCAGTTATAAAAATCAAAATGCATGACCAGATGCACAATAAAATATTTCATTCCTAACACCAATGTTATGCAGAGGACAGGTATACCTCCCAACGGTGTGTAGTAATTCAGCCAGATCTACCCTCATCTTTTCCATAATGCTGTCATCCGGTGACATATAATTTGATTCCTTGATGATTTGAAGAGCACTCTTGTACAAATGGATTGCATCATCCACCTTCCCTGCAAAAAAATGTTGCACATCAATCAATGCCACTCCTTTTTTGTCAAGAATAATTAGTGCAGAGAAGAGAAAAGAAACAGCCCCTAAACATGGATGCCATTTTGCATATTGCCAATAAAGGAGGTGCACAAAGATTTGAATTTCTGTTACTTAAAGCCAATTAAACTGTTTATGTAGATGTAGCATTTATTCCACCATCCTTATGCATATTAGGTTACAAGATCCATTATGCATCAAAGAACCTCTAAACCATGTTCATTTTTGAAATATCTATTTACAAGTTAAATTCCCTTTATTAAGATGGCAACCATCAAAGAAAAATGAGAAAGAACAGAAACAAAGATTAAACATAAGGAAAGAAAAAATGTCATGAGCAAGATCGTAAACTTACCTTGAGCACATTTCACCTGTGCCAGGGAACTCATAGCCATTCCACTTCTACCATCATTTTGCCCATAAAATGATGTATATATGTTCAGAACTCTTTTAGAGAGGGGGGAAAAACAAAGAAAGAAAGAAGAGTGAATATGGAAGAAGGCAAAGCCACTGGTGCAAAGAAAAAAGAGATGAACAAAACAATAATAGGAAGTTTAACCTTGTAAAATGAGCTTCTGCATCAATGGCTCTTCCTTGTTTAAGTAAAAGGTTGCCAAGACCAAGTAAAGGTACAACCAAATCCTTGCTTTTAGCACCTCTACTTGATTCAAGGAGAGTAATAGCATATTGGTACATTTCCATTGATTTTGTTGCTTTTCCGTCAGAACCATAAACTTTAGCCATACCCAAATAGGGTGTGACAAGAAAAGTGCTATCCTTACCTAGAAGAAAATGGCCCTTTAAACTCATGTAACAGTGTTGGGTTCAGTCCAAGAACATTTATCACATACCATTAATGTCAATATTCAAAATCTGACAATAAAACCAGTTAATCAAATTAACTGACTTTATTGGTGACATAACAGCAACATTTTACTCTCCAAGAACTTTGAAAGAAAAATACACTCACCATAGGTCCTTTCCATGATGTAAATAGCCCTGTGATATGTGTCGAGTGATTTTTCAAAGTTCCCTAAAGTTGAATACATGCTTCCCATATGCATGAGAATTGAATCTAGACATGGCGCATCATCCTTCAAAGTGTCAACAACTTCCTTCATCTAACCATACATCAACAAGTTAGAGAAAATGGAGGGAGAATACTAGTTAATATTACAGGGGAGAATCAACAAAGGCAGAGGAAAATGTGTGCTTTTGCAGAAGAGCTTTGATGTAGAAAGAAATACAAAATGCATAATCTCCATTCATAATCTTATAGGCACATACAAATTAAAATGATCATTCACGAAGAAATTACAAATTAATGCAAGAGAATCAATCATGTCATCAAAGAGAACAAGCAAGGAGACCAGTTTTCATGTACCAGAAGTCACATTCGCCAGAATTATGCAGATGGCTCATGCATGTTTGTGCTTAATTTATTCAAGTCTCACAAATCTCATAACAGACTATGGAAGAAAACTGATGGACTTCTCACAGTATTCTGATCACTGTACAAATTGGTTCTACCTCCTAAATCTCCTATGTATTAAACATGATAGGGACTTCTCAGTAAATAATAATACCCTGAGATTGTTGCTGCAATAAATAATATTTTACTCTGAATTTTGAAACCAAGGAATCCCCAGCATAAAATACCAAAATGACAGCATATTGCATAAGTGTAAAAGACATACCACATTCAGTAGAGAACCAACAAAATTGAAGTCACCAACAGCCATAAAACCTAGTGCTATGATATCCAGAACAGCAGCTTCTTCTACACCTTTAGTGCCTCCACTCAGCCTCTCATTCACCATTTCATAATTTGCCTTGAGCAAATCTGTAGCTTCATTTTTGTTTCCCATCCTAATCATTCGTTTGATATCATCAAAAAACTCTTGTAACTGTCTCTCAAAATCATTACTGCTGTAGAAGGGATCAATTCGCAGAATAAGCAGTTGGGCAGGAATTGGCAGTAGAAGAAAAAGAAGTTACAGTAACTTTACTGATAATCACCTCTGATAGTCATCTGGATATGAAGAAGTGGCACAAACATCATTTTGAGGGCCTTTTTCACCAGGTTTCAATGATCCAACTGAAGATCTCGTGACACAAAACTGAGCAGCAATCTTGATGGGCATAATGTAAAGCTTCAGATTGCATTTTTTATTTTGCTTACAAACTGGGAAGGATGTCATAAATTTCTGATCACAGGCTGAAAGTGTATGCAGAGCCGCTTTGTTTGTCCTTGCATGATGAAAGGAGATAGTCCAAACCATTACAAATTATTGTACTAACTACTAAGTAATGTACAGTCTGCTTAAGATTCGGCATTTAAAATGCGCCCCTGGGGGTTGGGGGGGATTGCCTTTAATTTGTATAAAGCACTGACAAATTGAGATTACTCAAAGACCTTCCAAACTTTTGACCCAAAAAAAAGGGCCTTTTGAAAAACACTCGGTGGATCAATCAATGAACAAGAGACCAATAACGTTTTGCATTTCCTTAATAAACATCACATAACCAAGGTGAATCCAAATCCTTAGAGTTAAGGACATAATTCAGCCAAATAAAGTCTTCCCTTTAACCTCGTTGATTAACTTCAAACTGGAGACTACTGAGGTATCATATACTATGCCACTTAATGTCACAAAAATGACAACTAACCTTCTCAAAATCAACAGGTTGCGTTGAAAATCTTAATTCATGAAACATTGACAAGAAATTAAAATAAATAAATAAATACCGAAAATATTTTTTGGAATTAGGTAAATTTCATCTACAGTTTTACTTTGGTTTTCAATGCACTCCTTTTCAAATATATAATACTTTAAGCCGAACCTCAAAATGTGAGTTCAACGTTTCCCAAAAACAGATGAAAGGCTTATCAATATTAGACCAACCTATTATCTAATACCAGTTTTGCAGACATTGGGGTGACTTGACTAGTATTGAAGTGAAATATATTGATATCTAGTCATATGTTTTCATCACTATCTGAAGTAAGCATGTGCTTTTGTCCAACCAGCAACTATTACATTGTGCAAGTCAATAGCAAAGACTATATTTGATAACTGTATTCTGGTGCAAAGATGGACCTCAAGCATTAATCCTAATAAAAATACTCTGGGAAAAGTTGCTATTTGGGTCAGAATTCAAAATATGGCGTATAGGAAATTGCATTGGGAAACCTTAAAGGTGGACGCGAATTCCATCACCAAAGCTAGAATTAGTGCTGAAGAGGATTTAAGAAATAAACTTGTTCCCGAGTGTTAATCAGAGACGACTTCTTCAACGTTGAATATGAAAACCCTATCTAATCTGTTTCAGTTGTGGTTGCAATGACCATAACTGAAGTAACTGTCCCCACAACAACACTCACATCCAACATACAGAGCGAGAAAGCAGATGAAGAAAGGGATCAAACGAATAACCAACATACAGAACATACCTGTACCCAGCAAGCTCGAAATGCCGCAAATAGCGTAGCTCAGCCATCAAACGGTCATCAAGGAATCACGCCCACAAAATTCAATGACCATTCAACAACACGTAAGAAACCGAAACAAAGGGTTCGGCGACTGGATGGTTGCACGAAGACCCGTAAAAAAAAAAACCGAAATATGCTCTAACGGATAAATTTGGGTAGCAACCTGCTACAAGACCAAACCGTGAAGCTGCAAGTGAAGTTGCAGACACCAACGCCGACTAAAAGAAAACGAGACAGGTCGGATAAGGAGAACGAGGTAAATAAAACAGGGAAAACAGGGGGCATGTCCGGCAGCATATTTTAATGATAGTTTTTTTATTCTTTAAAATAAAAAAAAACAACAAAATTTGGTTTGGTAACATATTTTTAAAAATTATTTTAAAAAACTTAAATATTACTCTGAAGAATAAAAAATCAAAATATTTTTAGATGTTACAAACTTAATGATTTGAAAAATGAGGAAGAATTATTTCTTAAAATAATAAAATAAAAATAATTGCAAACAAACCACACGTTTTTTTTATTTTTCAAAACACGATGTTTTCATCTTTTATGTGCTTCATAGTAGAAATCTTATGTAATCTTTTCTTGACTATGTTATCATCTTTTGTCCCCAAAAAAATGATGTTTTCTCACTAAATATATTTTAGATTCTTCTTTTCAAATAGATGGTCACAAAGAACCATATAAAGAGACTAAAATCAAGTCATGTCTAATGCCATAAGGTGTCTATGGTTGGGGGTAGACTATCACATATTGTAGCATCAAAATTATTACTTAGAGCCTTGTGAACTAAAATGTCAGCGTATCTATTTGTTTTTCTATAAATATGATCAAAAATAATCATTCAATTCTTCATAGTGAGATATTTGATTTTCTAATAACTACAAAGAGAGGAAGGCTTTTAGGGAAGTTGCATTCAATGAGTGATAGAACTTCAATAGAATATGAATTAACATTAACTTTAGGAACCTTAGCATTCTAGCAAAGATTAAGTCCTTTTAATATGAATATAAGCTCAGTTGCTATGTTGGGGTGATAACCAAGATTTAAAAAAAAAAAAACCCCTTAATCCAATTACCCTTGTTATCTCTAATATTGCCTCTACAAATAGCTATACCACCAAGGTTGACAAAACTATCATTGTCAAACCTAACCCACCCAAGATTTAGTGGATTTCATTTAGCTTCATATCTTATGTCAATTTTACTCAGATGATTAAGTTTAGATTGAAGCTTCAAATTATTGATTATTTGTTGAGTGTAAGAGAAGGCAATGTCATATCCAAGATAATGTTTTTAGAGTAGATTTTCTTACATCTCACTTCCCATATATTCTAATAGGCATGGGCAAAAAGTCTCTATCAGGGCAATCTTCTTGTACATAGGCTACCTAATTCATTTTTAACATTCCATATTGTCTAATATTATATTGAAAGAGAAATGAAAGTATTATGCTGTGAAGGATTGACTAATTTTTTCTAGACCTCTTTAACTTCATTGCAATCATATAAGATATGAATAGAAGAGTCAAGAGAGTTACAAACAAAAGAGCAAGCGCATTCTTAAGGGGTATTTCCATTGAAGTATTAGAAGTTGGTTTGGAGACAATCCCAAGTAGATTTTTTTTTTGTTTTATTATTCTAGAAAACAAAAAAATTATTGTTAGAACAAGTTACCAAACAAAAAACTGATAAGTATCTTGGATAAATAAAGTAATGAACATTAACAAATTAATAGCAAGTGAAGATATTATTTTAATAAATATTTAATTTGCTAAGTGAAAGTCCACCCAAGAAGAGGGTGAATTGGGCTTTAAGGAGATGAGTTTAAAATGATATCACCAATTATAGTAGAAAATACAAAACAAAAGCTTGCTCAAATATTTATCTTAGTTCAGTTCCAACCACTTGAGCCTATATCCAATCCTCAAGTACCATATGAGATTTTGTCCACTAACTCCACCAAGATTAATCTGGGCTATTGGTAGACTCACTACAATCCCAGATTCACACTAGAGTTTGAATCACTCTCCCTCACAAAGGTGACGATATATCCTTTTCAAACTCTCTGAGTTTAAGATACTCTGTTTTGAGAATACAAAACAAAGATGAAGAGATAACGTTCAAGAACTCTATCAAAAACTCTCTAAAAGTTTATATGCAATCAATAAAGCTCTCTTGCAATGAATCTAAACTCAAAGAGTTGGTGAACAATAAATGAAAATAACTTGCTTGTTCATTCGTATGCATTCTTGTTCATCGTCTTCATAAATGCTTCAATTTATAGTTGGGCTTCATAAGTGATCTATTAGACTCATGAATATAGCCATTAAAATCATCTTCTTCTCTCTTCTGAGCTTTCTCCAATACGAGGTAATGTAACAGTGTTTTACGCCGAAACTTTCTCTCTCACGACAAGGAAAGTAATGTATTTTTACATTAAATGTTCTGATGAGGTAGGTGAAAGTCTCTTTCAAAAGAATAAAGCTATTAGGTAATAGGTAATTCAGGCCATGCTTGATAGGCCCACCCAAACTCGCCCAAAAAAGCTAAGGTCGGGCTTAGCTATATAAGCTTTTTTAAGAGGTACGATGCTTTAAGCGGACCTAAATTGAGCCCAACTTGAATAAGCTCAACCATTGGAATTTCCACCTCTATATGTATATAGAATTGATAATTTTGGCCAAGCCCAATAGGCCAACCTGAACCCAATTGAAAAAAGTTAGAGCCAAACTTAGTTATATGAGCTTTTTAAGAGGGTAGGATACTTTAAGCCTAATTTGAATGAGCCCGGCCTATTTTGCACTTAACCTAAATAAGCTCGGCCTGCTCTAATTATCGGCTCTATTTAGGGATAAGGAATTTTTGAATAAGATCAATAAGAGCTTAATACATCCTATAGTTGTGTTTAGAATGATTCTAAGGAGATTATATCACTAACACAACTCTTAAAAAGTAAAAGAAAAGATAACAATGAGAGTTTCAAAATTTCTCTATTGAGGACATGAAAAACAGAGCAGGTTATAGCATGTATATTTCAAAATAGTAAAGAACACAATAACTAGAAGTAGAGGATAGTTCTTTCAAAGTAACATCCTAGAGATTTAAACATGATTAGCTAAGCCTAATTAAAGAATAATTAAGTAAATTTGTGTAATGTGTAGCTAGAGAGGTCTAATGAGTGAGTTTGGTTGTGATTTTACCCCTAAAATTGGGTCCAAAGTGAAGTCAAGCCATTCGGGCATCAAAAAGTAAGAAAAACAGAAGGAGGAGGCTTTATACCACATATCGCAGCATGCACCACCCCTACCACAACTTATGTGTGCCATTTTTGCGAGCTTGAGCCTCTCTGTGCCATGAACCATGGCATAGGAGGCATGCACCATGATGCATGGTCAATATCCTACATAAGTGGCTTTACGTCTGTTCAAAAAAATAAAAGGAGAAAAAGAAGGAGAAACAAAGAGCATGCTATTTGCTTTACTAGGGCACTAGTTTAGGGACAATTGGGGACATTTTGGAGCTTCCTAACATTAAATTTAATTCCCTTATGCCCTTTACTTCTCCTCCTTCTATTTTCTTTAATTTTGAGTTAGGGTTTGACTAGGAAAAGTGATTCTTAGTCTATATGGCCTATGAATCTTAACCTATTAGCTAAAATAGAGTTAATAGGAGTTGATTAGATTATTTATATCTAGCATTAATGGTTTTATGCGTTGTTAGTTAGTTAATGCCATTATTGTCTGAAAATTGGTTATAATGATGGTGGTTGGGAGTGTTTAAGGGTCATTAATGATGGTTTGATTGTTCATTAATAACAATGTGAGTTAAAGGAACCTATTTAACCTAATAGGCATGTTGAATAATGGGAGACTGTATTTGTATGTGTTGGAAAGGATGAGATAAAGTGCTAGAAAGTATTTAAATAAGAATATTAATGGGAATCCTTGACGTTTAATTGTAGACTAACCCATTTGGCACCATTAAAGCCTAGAAGAGCTTTAAAAGTTTGTGTTTTGAAGGATAAATATTTTACCTCTCAAAGGTTTGAGGTAACAAGGGGGAATATAGTTTATGCTTTTACTTATTAATTGATTATATGTTAAAGAAATGTTTGGAAGCCAAATGATTATAGAATTTTAAATTGATGCAAATTGTGGAATGGTAGTAAATACATGATATATTGAGATTAGAGTAAAGATATGTGTAAGTATTTATTTATGTGATCATATATATAAGTATATCTATAAATATTGTTGAGTAATTATGGAACTGTTTGAGTATATACATGAAAATAATCTTAGATTTTGCATGTTATTGATGAATGTGAATGTGCAAACCACCTACTGAAAATTGTGCATAGCATGATCATATAAGGTGAGAGTTCGTCTAAAAGGAAAGGACTAGTTGTGTTAAACCCACATGGTAGCGACGGCTTACCTTTGGAATCAAAAGCTTGCCTGGGCACTGACTATTGGAATCTGAAAGTAGTCATTATATTATGGTTGATTAGGGTTTGTCTCACTTTTTTTAAAGGACTCAAACCTAACTAATCTCCATAAGTTCATGAGAAGGCTAGATTAGGGGTAAGACACCCCATGGTTGTTAGTACTGGGAGAAACCATAGATTACAAGTAAGTGAGTTAGCCTTAGTTAGGTAGCTTCTCATGAGTGAAAATTTTGGTTAGTTCGAGTTATGGACATAAGCACTAAACAACCACTGGTTTCATGTCAAATTATTAGGAAGATATAAGTTTGGCATCGATCATGAATTTTATATTTTGGCCATATGGTTTTTATTTTTGTGATTCGATGTGTCTTGATGGGGGCGCATGATTATTATTATTATTATTATTGCGATCCCACATGTGCATTATTGATTATATATGGTGATATGCATTTGTGCTTGGCCACATAATTGTTAGTATTATGGTCAAAACAATCTTTGAAAGATATGCGTAGACTAGTTGTGAAAAGAATTAAAATTGTCATTTGCATCTTTAATTAATTAATATGCAATTGTATAGGCTAAATTGACCTTAGTTACTGAGTGGTTGTACTCACCTCTTATTCTTCAATATTATAGGAACTAGCTCATTGGACTAAACTCAAGGACAACGATCAAAGGCTTAGGAATAAGAGAAAATCCTAATAGTAAGCCTCATATTATTTTGATTATGTGTATTTTGAAATTATTATTTGCCAACTAGGATTACATGTGATTTATTTTGATTACTTGTACTATTATTGA